ATCGAATCGTCAGAAATCGGCAGCCGAGTCGGGAAAAGTCAAATCGGCGGAAATCGGCAGGCTAGTATTAGTAGGCCTCCATTGAGGAGTCGGCATCCAAATCGGAATCCCTAGTCGAATCGGAGGAATCGAAACGAGCCCTGGCTCCGCAAGTCTTCTGTGCCCCCCCCCTCATCACACTCAAACGCGCGCCTCGCTCCACCCCCACCCCCAGCCCCCCACCCGCCCCCCTTCCGAGGCTCTCTGGGCGCCCCACCCGACAGTTCCCCTGGCGCTCTCCAGGGCAGATGCCTACAGTGGATTACAAGAAAGCCCTGGCAGACCACACAAAGCAAATACTAGATTGCTTCAAGACGCACAAGATAGCCCTGTCAAGGCGCCCAAGGGGTTCCAAGATACATCCCAGGCACCTCAAGACACCCCCCAGACGCTCTCCAGGAGGCTCTCGAGAGGTCAAAAGCAATGAGCTCCCTCTGAGGTGTTTTTTAGTTGTGTTTCGCTTTCCACGCTCGTCGGTCCAATATCGCTCGCTCCACTTGTGGTCCTCGAAGGCCTAAAAGGGCCCACTGACTGAGAGACCCAAGAGGGCCCCTAATCAACATAAGTCGGCCCCAGCAGAGCTTCAAGCTGGCCCAAGATGGTCTCCTGGATGCACCCAAGCTGACCGAAGAGAGAGCCTCAAGAGAGCTCCAAGCTGGCACAAGAGGGCCCCCTGGATGAACTCAAGACTGCCTACGAGGGCCCCCAAGACAGCCCCAAGACGGCCCCAAGACGGCCCCGAGACACCCCCCCAAGAATGCCCCACTTAATCCCCCAAACGGTCCCACGAAGGACCAAGACAGCCCCAAGATGGCCCGGACAAGCCCCGTGAGAGCTCCTCAAGACGTGGAGACGAGATGTGTCGCACGTGACGACCTTCTGGGCAGTGCTCGAAGGGTCGCCGCAAAGAGTGCTTCGCTGGCGCAGTGGCGGGTTTGCCGCAAGCTCCTGAATAGTTCATCCGGAGAATAATTCCTGTGGAATGGCACGTGCCACCATCACGTTCGCCATGGCTGTACAGCATCCGCCCCCACAGTGCTGCGCATCACGTTGTCGTGGCCAATTCCCCACAGCCCACTCGTGTAAGTTTGCAAAGGGGGGCACAAGTTTCCGCAGCTGCTCATTCCGGGCCACCACCTTTGCCGCCTCCCTTGTCAAGCATGTTCATCATCATTAGCATTTCCATGCCCCCCGGGAGTCCACCACCGCCTGCTTGCTCGGGATGGTCTTCCAGCCACTGCTCAGCCCATTTCAAGCGCTCATCGCTGCCAGGCGCGCCGCAGGGTGTGCCGAGCATCCTGTCTTCCTCTGTCAAGTCACTGTTGCCAGGCACTTCCTGCAGCTCGGCTTGGATGGCCTCAGGGCGCCCAGCGACAGCCTCGGCAAGAGAGAGATTCGCCTTCGCGGCCATGAAGGTGTATGCTTTTCTGAAGCCTGCATGAGTCAGCTTGGAGATCGAACCGGGGACAAACTCGACCTGTCTCCCAGTGGCCTCGGACACACCCTGAAGCCGCACAACCATGCAGGTGATGTTGTCCTTGGAATTTCTGTCGATGGCCTTGTGGCAGACAAGGCGCGCAGCGGTGCCCCCATCCTTGCCCCCCTTCAGCGTCTCGGCTACGAGCTCCACAACCTCTGTGGGCGAGAAGTCCCCCTCTGACACTCCATCACAGACAAGCAGCACGAAGTCTGTCTCGTCACACTCGAGGTGGTACTGCTCGGGGATGCAGGTGACAGGACGGTTGTCGGGGCCAGGTCCGCCAGTCCGCTTGAGATCACGGTCACCGAATCCCCGGCTCACTGAGAGGACTCCGTTAACACGGTCATTTTCAACAGTACCACCCGCCTTCACGATACGCCTCCTCTCTTCTGGGTACTCGGGCTTGTGGTCATGGCTGACGCATTTATCGGTGCCACCACCATCAAAGATACAACCGTTCGCTTTGCCAAGAATCGTCCTGCTGTCGCCCGCGTTGATGACATGGAGCTTGTGCTTATCTCCCACCTTCTGCGGCTTATGTATAACGCACATGGTGACAGTCGTGCCACTAGGCATATCAGAGTCCAAGAACGCTTGGTCGACCTCAACGAAAAGCTTCTCCCAAGCAGCATCATTATGAGGAACACCGTTTTTCTCAAGACTGTTATAGATCATCCTGGCGGCATATGCAGAGCACTCCTTCCCACCGTGGCCATCGTAAACACCGAAGACGCCGACGTCGTCCCTCACCCAGATCAGATGCGCATCTTCCATATCGGTACGCCAGCCGTTGACTTCTGCAACTGCAACATCAAACCCTTTGTTTGCCTGGCGCTCGATGAGCGTCGAGTCGCAGGCCCTCGGCAAGATCGCGCCCATGGCTACGTGTGCCCCCCCCGAGCGGAAGGAAGAAATCTACAAAACTACGAAAGAAACACACATATCTGTCCATCAGCCACAGCGGCTTGAGCCAAAATGGCTACGGCGTGGGGTGTACTGTATTGTGGCTGTGCGAGGGACGGTGATGGGGCAGACCATTGTGTGAACCTGGGACTTCACTTCTCATCCCCTGGCGGGCACGCTCGAGATATGGATCCAGCGATCAGGGCCCGATACTCCGAGGGGACCTGGTGGCTTTCAAGAAGGGGTACGGCCTGGTGGTGGCAACTATTGAATGTCTGTTGGGGAATAATGTGGCGAAACTTCACGAACAGAACTGCTGGCACCATCTTTCTGCGGCATCTCTCGATCGGAGTCGACCTGTGCGACTCCAGAAGCACAGAATGTAGCAGACACACCACGAGGAGGAAAGAAGAAGAGACACATGCAAATGAAGCCTGGTCCGCTCCTGTTTTTATGATTCGTATTATTAGTGCCACTTTTTGTTAATATATATATATATAAACAAAAAACTGGCGAAGGACCCAACAATCTGCAATTGTGAGTACCGCAATGCAAGCGCGACGGCCGAAGGGGAACTCCCTATGGGGCAACGAACCGCGTGAGACGGGCGAACCGCGTAAGGGATGTGCCAACATGGAGCCGGCACCGCATGCGGGCTGTGGGGAAGACACATGCGATGACGGCCGCCGTGACCTTCTGTGGAGCTCCGTACGTATGGGACCACGAAACGTGTGAGGGGCGAACCGGTGTTTGACGAGGGGGGAGGACGGCCGCATGTACCCTCGGTGGAGCGCCCCATGTGGCCGCGAAACGTGTGAAGGGTGTGTCGACATGGGTGAGTCGGACGCATGCGGGCAGCGCCCCTAGGACCTTCGGTGGAGCTCCCTATGGGACCGCGATCCTCGTGAGAGGTGTAACGAGGTGGACAGGTCGGACGCATGCGGGCGGCGCACCTCGGACCTTCAGTGGAGCTCCCTATGGGGCCACGATCCTCGTGAGTGGTATGCCTGAATTGGTGGGTCGGACGCATGCGGGTAGCGCCCCTGGTGCCTTCGGTGGAACCCCCCATGGGGCCACGATCTTCGTGAGGAGTGTGCCGAGATGAGTGGCTCGGACGCATGCGGGCGGCGCCCCTGGGACCTTCGGTGGAGCTCCCTGTGGGGTCACGATCCTCGTGAGGGGTGCCGAGATGTGTGGGTCGGACGCATGCAGGCGGCACCCCTGGGGCCTTCGGTGGAGCTCCCCATGCGGGCGACGCCCCTGGGACCTTCGGTGGAGCTCCCTATGAAGCCGCGATCCTCGTGAGGGGTACGCCGAAATGGGTGGGTGGGGCGCACGCGGGCGGCGCCCCTGGAACCTTCGGTGGAGCTGTCTGTGGGGCTGCGATCCGCGCGAGAGGTGTGCCGACATGGGTGGGTCGGGCACATACCTTCGGTGAAGCTCCCGTTGGGGCCGCGATCCACAAGAGAGGTGTGCCGAAATGGGTGGGTCGGACGCATGCGGACGGCGCTCCTGGAATGTTGGGTGCAGCTCCCGGTGGGGCCGCGTTCCTGGTGAGGGGGGTGCCGAAGTGAGTGTCGCAGACGCATGCGGACGGTGCCACTGGGGCCTTCGGTGGAGCTCGCTGGGGGGTTGGCGGACATTCGGAACGCAAGGGCAAAGTTTGGAGGAGGAGGAGGGGGAGGCGGAGGCGGAGGCGGAGGAGGACGAGGGGGAAGAGAGGAGGAGGAGGAGAGGAGGAGGAGGAGAGGAGGAGGAGGAGGAGGAGGAGGAGGAGGAGGAGGAGGTGGAGGAGGAGGAGGAGGGGGAGGGGGAGGAGGAGGAGGAGGAGGAGGAGGAGCTGGAGGAGGAGGAGGAGGAGGAGGAGGAGGAAAGCCACTGGTGCTCAGGCCATTTTGGCGGAGCACAGGGCTCAGGCGCCGCGCCCCCCTCACGATAGTTGCTCGTGAACGCTCCCGCGGCTAGGCAGGCGGCTGAGCACCAGAGGGCGCGCGCGACCCACGGCGCGCTCGGGGCGCCGCAGGCGCTCCCCCGAGCCAGCCTGGCACAAGAGGCAGCGGGCGCAGCGGGGGCGAGCTCGCCTTCTCCTCAGCGTGTTCCAGGCCAAGCGCCTCCTCGAATCGCACCATAGCACGATGGGTGGAGGTACTTGGACATGCAGGCAGTGCGAGACAAGAAATCCTAACTCTCAATGGACATGCTCGTGTGGCAACGTGTGGGCTCCTCGCCCCGATCCCACCAGACGTTCGGCCAGCAGAAAGAGGGACCAGAAGAAGTCCGCCAGCATAAGAGAGTTGATCGCACAGATTCCTGTTGCAGCACCTGATGAAGCGATTGCCAACATCACGGTGTGGGAGCCGCCGCCACCAGAGGCGGACGAGCTGAAGATCTACAAGTCAAAGGCCCAGTCGAAGCTCCAGAAGTTCGCCAACCTCCTCGTCGCGGTCCGTGACGCAGGGAAGGAGGATCCAGCCCTGGAGTTCGACATAGGGGTGCTCAAGTACATGATGAGTGCCTGCAAGGGCTCAGAGAAGCAGTTGCATGAGTTGAAGGCCCAGCTCATCAGCGCCAAAGAGAGGCTCGGCAAGATACGAGCTAAGGTTGAGGAGCTGCTAGACGAGGAGGCGACGCTCTGCCTGATGGTGCAGAAGCTACAGAACTCCATCCAGCAGCTACGAGAAGCGGAGGATGCACCAGATCATGATGAAGACTGGTTGATGGCCCCGCCAGGAGGAAGCGAGCATGGTCTCAGGGCAGCCAGCAGTGCCCAGAGGCCGTGGGTGCAGGCGGCGGCTGAGAGGGCGGCAGCACAGGCGGAGGCAAAAGCTCAGTCAGCCAAGGCCGCGGCGGAAGCAATTGCCAGCAGAGTGCCGCCGCCGCCGCCACCAACGCCCAATCAGCCCATGGCACAGATGCAGGCGCATCAGCCACCCCAGAAGGCAGCACCAAGGGCAGCTTCAGGGGCGCCGCGCAGCCAGCCAGCCACTGCAGCAACGGCGCCGACGGCTACAGAGCCCGATGGCCCGCGCACCGCCTGGCACAGTGGCCTGCGGACTGAGGGGCAAGAGGGCCCAACGGCGGCGGCCATCACTGCGATGACGGAGCAGATGAGTGCCGTGCAGGCCCAACAGCAAGCCATCCAGGAGCACCTCTCGAGGATGCAGACGGGCCAGAACTTCCACGCCTTCGCTCTGGCCAGGGCATTGGGAGTCGGCATCGGTGCAGCAGCAGGTGATGTGCTCATGGATGCGCAGACGATTCAGAAGGCACAGCGGGCGGTGATCTCGGGACTCTCGCTCCCCAGTGCGAGCCCCCCTGATATTCAGGGGTTGGCGCCAGAGCGCACGCAGAGGGACGTCGCCCCCACGGCGCCAGATTTTGGCGCAGCCCCCCCTGGCGCAGCGCCAGCCACGGGGCCGAGGGCGCCTACGCAGCGCAGAGCGAGCTCGCTAGAGCACCCCGTGGCAAAGACACCGCCGCCGAAGAGACAGTCGGCATCGCCGAAGCCAGCCAGGGCCCCCTGCACTGGCGTCTCAGCCGAGACCAGGGCCCAGGCCGAGGAGAAGGCAGTTCCAGACACACCGAGGGTGAAAGGCGTGTCCAGGGTGACAGCAGAGCTGCAGAGGAGCGAGCCAAAGGAGGAGGTCTTGCCGATAGATCCAGAGCTACTGATCGCGACGCAGCCAATGGTGATGGAGGAAATGATACCAGGGCCAGTGCACATCTTGCAGCACATCCAGGGGGCCTCCATCGACCTGATCAGTCAGACGCAGCGCTCCCCCACACCACCGCCGGCGCAGAGGTCGCCTGGATCGCCAGTGGATCCTCCGCAGCCAGTGCCCGCGGCGCTGTTCCCCCCTGCGCGGGCAGCAGCAGCACCAGCGGCCGCAACATCTTCAACGGCAGCATCGTCAGCATCTCACGCGCAGGCAGCGACCTCATCGGGACTGTTGGCAGCGCCCGCGGCATCAGCAGCGGATGCACCTCCTGCGGCTTCGAGGGCCCGACCGCTAGAGGAGGAGGAGGACAAAGAGAAGGACATGGGAGACTCGCCCAACAGGTCCCCCCCCCAAGAAGATGCAGTGCCAGGGTTACGAGCTGGAAGACGGGTCCAACTTGTAAGGCCTAGCAGGGTCTCGCGGGGCCCAGTCGAAGTGAATCGCTTTGAAGCGCATGCACCTATAATTGTCCGACAAGCCAGGGACACGCTTTCTCGGACCTGTTTCACTAGGCCGATTCTTAGGTCGGCCCATGTCTCGGATATCTCGGCCAGGGGTTGTGGTCTTGGGAATTCGCAGTCAGGCAATATTTCCTCGGCAGCCACTTCAGGTGATGCCACTGAGGACTCATCATCAGCTTCCACTCGGTCCAACGGCCGAACGAGGTATCGCTTGCGGGGCAAGACCTCGAAGGAACATATTTTCTTGCCTCGTCCTCGCGAATTACAGCATGCTGCGCATGAGGTGCGAGGACACGAGGCCAATCAAACGTCAATTACAGTTGCGGTGGTGACTGTTTCCCCCCCCCCCCCCCCCATACACACACACACGCACCGCCGTCGCACCCCGCTCCAGCCAGGGAGCAGCTCGAAGCAGTTGCAGGGGGGAGTGTGATGGCGCTGAGGGAGGATGGTGGGTATACTACTTCCCTGCGTCTGTTTCCTTTACTTTTCCAGTATCCTGAGAGCAATGGCAGTGGACACTGTGGTTTTCAGGAAGCGGACAGGATATATCAGGTTTTACTCCAGAACATCAACTGGTTTGAGCTTTGCAATGACGATTTTGGAGATATCCCCTTACACAACACACCCAAGTTTGCTCTGGATATCTCTGCGCGCGGGGCACATAGAGCGAGATCAGTACATATATATATATATATATATATATATGTCGACGCCTCGTACAGAAAGACGCTCAGGGACTCAGCCTGGGCCTTCGCTCCTGTCGCGATCTCGCCTGACGACGCGGCGAGCTTCCTGGGGTGGCAAAAAATGAGCGCATGGGAATCCACAGCAATGCAATTCGAAAGGGACGACGTCACTAGCACGACTATCGAGCTCATGGGGCTATTGTGGAGCT